CGGTCCGGACCAGGGCGTCTCCGACGCCCTCGTCTGCATCCCCCTGAAATGGGCTACTTATGAAGACTTATTAGAAAGAAATAAAATAAAGTTAAAATCCTTAGACCAACAAGGTTCTCTTATTTCCAATTAAAAGAAAGATTTACATTAGACTTTAAATCAGACAACATAAAAGACTCAGATCCGAAGTTTGAAGAGATTATGAAATTGGAGGGGGATCACAGAATTAAAAAATTATACAAACTTATATTATCATTTGACATGGAGGAGGAAATTATCAAGCCACAGATGATAAAATGGGCCCAAAATATAGGCCACTCTATAGACTTGAATCAGTGGGAAAAGACATGGTCTAAAAGACTGAACTATACACTAAGCTACAATTTAAAAGAAAATTACTATAAAATGTTTTACAGAGTGCATTGTTAGTGATGAATGTTTGTAATTATTGACAGTGTTTAATAAGTGTTTTAGTAAATGTTTTGTCTTTTTCTTTATTTTGTGGATGTTGTTTGACGACTGTGATATAAACAATGTATTTTGGAATGTTTTTAATTAATAAAATTTAATAATAATTTTTAAAAAAGCATTTAGGCTCTGCTCCTTTAGCCCTTTAGTGATAGCCCAAGGTCACCTTTAATGCATGACCAAGCAGGGATTTCCATTTAGCTCTCCCTGGTCCACCATTTCAAACATCACATTGTACTGTTTTTCTCCCATTGGTGGTCAACAGAAAATGGGACAAAGGCTATCATGGGGTTTTCTTGGCAAGATTTAGCCTTTGCCTCCCTCTGAGACTGAGACAGTGTGACTTACTCATGGTCACCCAGTGGGTTTCCATGACTGAGAAGGGATTTGAACTCTGCAGCAAACCAGGGGTCATACTGTCCAGTGTAAAGGTTGTTTACCCTGGGATCCACCAGATCTGTGACCAGTCTACCAAGATTGGGCTTGATCCTGGCCCCAGGGTTTGGCCTGCATTGTCTCATCTGGACGATGTGAGGTCATGGGGAACACAGAACTCTTGGCCGTGCGGACATCCTCAGAGTATCAAGAAGAGGTCTTTCCTTGTCTCTTACTCTGGATGCTTTGGAAGCAACCTGGAATCCTGCATGTTTAAAGCAGGCACAGTGAGCTTAATTACAGGTAGCTCTGGAGCCTAGAAAGCCATGAAACTATGAAATACACCAATGTAACACCCCCAAAATTTGTCCAGGCCTTCTGAGGCTTGGATGCTAAATCTGAGTTCTTTGTTTCAGGTGTTCAAGTGGCAGGCAAAAGAGCCGTGGTCATCGGGCGCAGCAAGATAGTTGGGGCTCCAATGCATGATCTGCTGCTCTGGACCCATGCAACAGTGACCACATGTCACTCCAAGACTGCATCGTTGGCTGAGGAAGTAAGGCTGGAAGAATGGTTATGTTATATATTGTTATTGCTGTGCCAAATGCCAGGATTCTGTAGGATGCAGCCATGGCAAATAAAGTGGTATCAAAGAGCTCTGATTGTATAGAGTGAAAAAAGACTTCTTTCTGAGGCAATTTCTGCTACCTGGAGAGCAAAGTGCCAGTTCAATGTTATAACTAAACTTGGAGGGCTGGTTATAAGACTGAACAGGAAAGTGTCTCTGGGAAAGGCAGGTGCCATTTTTCTGAAATATTTTTCTGTTTTCTCGGAAACATTTCTCCATTTCTCTTTGTGTGGACTGACAAGGAAATAGAATACACTGGGCACTCCAGTTCTTGAAAACTTTCTGGATAAGGCCAGAGTAGGAATGATCCAGTGGGAGGAGAGGGCGGGTTATGGCCCTCAGGATGCTGTTGGGCTGCATAGTACCAGGAGCCCTAGTATAGCCAGCGTTGGAGAATGCAGGGAGCTGCAGTCCCAACAATACTTTGAAGGTTACATTTGGTCCACCTAGTACAAGAGGCTACAGGGGATGAACAAGTGGTGGAATCTTAGACCAGGGGTAGGCAACCTTTCCCCTTTAAGGGCCGAGGGACTTCAGCTCCCAGAAGCCTCAGCCATGTTGGCCAATAGTCCCATATTGGCCAATAGCTCCTGGGATTCTGGGAGCTGAAGTCCCTCGGCCCTTAAAGGGGAAAGGTTGCCTACCCCTGTCTTAGACTATTGTTATTGTTAACTGCCATCAAGTTAACTTTGACTTATGGCAACACCATGAATGAGAGACCACCAAGTCACCCTATCATCAACATCCCTGCTCAGGTTTTGCAGGCTCAGAGCTCTGGCTGGTTTGATTGAGTCCATCCATTTGTAATATGACCAATCAAAGGCTTTGTTATAAAGTACAGGGTGACTTTTTTCTGGAATTCTTTAGTGTGCTCCATTAGCCAATGTATGTTTGCAATATGATCCATAGTACCTCTTCCTTTTCTGAATCAATCTTGGACGTCTGGCATTTTTTGCTCCATATATGGTATATAGATTATATTACATACTATTTCCAGACTATACTGCCAGAAATAATCCAGTTTGAGGCCACTTTAACCGTCCTGGGTTTGTGCTAGGAAACCATGCAAATAATAGTTTTTTTCTAGACATTGAGCCTTTTCTATCAGAGAGTTCTGGTGCCACAATAAACTACAGTTCCCATGATTCCTTAGCACTGAGCCAGGACAGTTAAAGTGGTCTCAAGATGGATTATTTCTGGCAGTCTGTATAGGCCCCATATTACATGCTGTTTCTAGGTAACTGGTGGTGGTCTATTGTACAACTGTGGTATTTTAATACTTTAGATTGTGCATGAGAGGTTTACATGAGCAAATGTCAAAAACTCCTTGTTTGTGGAAAGCTGGTTTGTGAAGAACAGCTCTAATCTAACCAGCTTCCTTATATATTTACTTATTTAATTTAGGATCCAAAATAGATTATAACCAAAGTATGCTAGATCTCTGTCTGCAAGGAGGAATGTATTTTTCTTCTCTCTCTCTTTTATTTTTGTAATGAATGGGAACATTTGAATGAGAGCCCAGAGGGATATGCTGAAACGTAAAATGTCAGCTAATCCCTGAGTATTTGGAGATTGGCTCTTGGATGCTTCTGGTTTGATCTCCATTCCTGAAATGGAAGTGGTTCACTGCTCAGCTCAGCTAGTGTGGAAGGAATCATTGATAAGCTGTTAAGCTTGTGACTTAATATGTTCATATTTTTATTGACCTAAGGGAAACCTGACCCTTTCATTTGTTAGTTGAAAACTCACAAGAGGGAGGATTTAACAGGGAAAGGCAACAGGGCTTGGTTTGACACCTAGGTTTGATTCAAAATATGTTTACAGGTCAGTAAAGCCGATATTCTGGTGGTTGCAGCTGGCAAAGCAGAGATGGTGAAAGGTGAATGGATTAAACCTGGTGCCATAGTGATTGACTGTGGAATCAACTACATACCAGGTAATGTTAAAAAGTTGTCTTCAAAATTATCCTAGAAGAGAAGGTTCATGGGAAGAAGGGAGGCAATGTGAACTGTTTCTTTTATTAGAAACATTCCATGAATCTCCTAAATTCAGATAGTAAAAATTCTAACATAGAGGGAAGTCCAATCTGCTCTGAAGGTGTGTGAGAGAACAGGGGTTGAGAAGGGAAAGGAAAATCAATTAAAACTTCATTTCGTCCTAAATCTGAGTTAAATTTCAGAGAAATTCTTGGGAGGGAAAACATTCCCAGTGGTGGGTTGGATCAAAAGTAAATTTATGGGACTAAGAATATCAATATATTTTAACTTTTAAATGAGACATTTTGTCCTTTTAGAATGGGAATAAATGATACAAAAGCTGGAAAACCATCTAAAATAGTGACATGGAGAAGGGCACATATGTGGAGAACCTCAGAGGGCTACATTGGGAGGGAAGGGGAGCAGCCAACAGAGATCACTGGTCTTATTTTTTTCTCCAGTCCCATTTTACTGCAGATTTCAAGATAGGCATGAGTCAACTGAAGTGTTGCCCATTTTGGCCCTTTTGATGATCTGCACTTCACCTCCAAGAAGCTTCAGTTTAGAATAGCCAGTGGATTCTGAGAGTTGAAATCCAAAACATCTGGAATACCAAAGGTTGAGAAGCAGTGGTCTAGGCCAGTGTTGTGAGCTGCTTTGGATTCCGTATGGGGAGTAAAACAGGATAAGATATTAAAAGGAACAAGGTGCAAAGTCATCTAGACATGAAGTCTAATTCAGGTTTGCAGTGGGACCTCAGTACCTGCGGACTTGCCATCTATGGATTTGATGGCAAGCCCATGCTATCCCCAATGGCGGCAGGTTTATGCAACTGCACCGCCATTAGGGACAATAGGAATGAAGTCCTTCCTTCCTTCCTTCCTTCCTTCCTTCCTTCCTTCCTTCCTTCCTTCCTTCCTTCCTTCCCTCTCCAAGGCTTCTGCCCTGGGCTTGGCTTCAGGGAGTGGTGTGAGGCGGAGGCTGGAGAATGCCAGCTGGAGAGACCGAGGCTTGGGTCTCGGAGCCCCCCGCCCCAAGGCCCAACACCCAGGAGGAACCTCCAGGCTCCGAGACCCAAGCCCCGGCCCTGGCTCTGACTCCCTCGGCCGATGGGGTTTCAGCCTCTGCCTCCAAAGCCAACCCTGGGTCAGAAGCCTTGGAGGGGGAGGGAGGGGGAAGGAAAAAAGGAAGAGGAACAGAGGGAGGACTTCAGTCCCATTGTCCCCAATGGTGGTGTGGCTGTGTGGCCGCACTGCCATTGGGGTCAGTGGGACTTAAGCATCCACGGATTTTAATATCCCCTCCACGGATACTGAAGGCTGACTGTGGTAGCATGAGGTACAGTGATGTGGACAGCCAGCATGTCGTAGTGGTTTGCGTGTTGGATTTCAGCTCTGGAGACCAGGGTTTGATTCCCAGTTTGGCCATGAAACCCACTAGGATGACCTCGTGCAAGTCATATACTCTCAGCCTCAGAGGAAGGCAATGGAAAACCTCCTTTGACAAATCTTGCCAAGTAAACCCCATGATAGGGTCACTTTAGGGTCGTCATAAGTTGGAAATGACTTGAAGGCACACAATAATAACAACAACAACAAAAGCTGATGTAAGGTAGTAAGAACAGACAAGAAAGCACGAAATCTTAAACCAGACATGCATTCTTACCTAAATCAGAATCGGGGAAGTTACTTTTTTTAACTTGCAGAATCCCCTGGCTAGTCATGGAATTATACACCAAAAAGTAAGCATTTTCCAAACTGCAACCTAGCATTATACTGAAATAAGCTGTGTGAGTAGCCAACTTCTTCTTCTTATAATATTTATTTGTATCCCGCTCTTTTCCCAGAACTGGGACCCAGAGTGGCTCACAATATTAAAAGAATAGTACAATTAAAAACATAGAAAAAATGCACATTAAAAAATTAAAATGATTAGTATATTAAAATAGATTGCTTGTTAAAAGAATAAAATACAGTTTTAAAATATGAAGCTGTTTAAAACACTTTAAAACAATACAAAACCCCAGCTTGTTCTATCAAAACATTCTATTTTAAAAGCCTGTCTGCGTAAGAAGGTTTTAACTTGCTGGCAGAAGGACAACAAGGAAGGGGCATTCTGGTCTCCATGGGGAGGGAGTTCCAGAGACTGGCAACTTCCATCAAAGGGATCTTTCATCAGTATGACATCCTTTTTGGCCATGATGGGTGATTAGTAGCAAAACCTAGGTGCTTTTATGAGGTCTTGGGTGGGATGATTTTGATTGTCAGCCATTAATTTTTTGGGGGGGGTATAATTTTTATTACCATACACTAATACAAATATTGTACAGACATACTTTACATACACTAACAACACAACACATTTATCATTTTCATATATAAAAACATATAACATATAAATTCGACTTCCTTCTACACAGCTCTCATTTTAACAAATTTTAAGTGTTCTATCTTATTACTATTCTAGTTGCAAATTCTACTTTAGTTCTTATAATATGTTTTTGTTTTGGGTTTTTTTGGAACGTATGTCTTGTTTCCAAAAATCTCATACTTTCCTTGTAACACCCTTTAAGTAAAGCATAAAAAAAAGAATGTAGACTTTTAATAATCTCTGTTCATTAGTGCTTGTTAGAATTTTCTTATAAATTTGCACATGGATCTTAATCTATCTTGAAATTATCTTTCCAGCAGTTTTCTAAATAAGCATAAAATAAATATCATTCTTTTTGTATTGATTCTTCAGTTTTTCCTTTCATTCAACATGTCATTTTGTCAAGTTCTGCCATTTCATATGTTTTGATTAACCACTGGGCTATTGTCAATAATTTCCATTTTTGTGCATACACTAACTATCCTTGCACATTACTTATTTTGAGTGGCAGCTGTTATTCTGTCAACCAATGAACAGTAGCACACAAAAGCAAGGGGTATCCCAGCAGATGGGTGATCCAATGATCCAAGCCTTTACTGGAGATCCAACAGATAAAATGCATCCTATCAAACTGATTTGTGTGTGTTGTGGAAGCAGCAGGTGGGAACGTAACAAACCAGCCTGTACCAAATGGAGGTTGCTTTCCCATTTGTCATGGGGAGCATTAAGATCAGGTTCTGGATTGTGTGGAATGTGATACATGAATGGGACTTTGTCCTGCCTTCTCTTTGGTCATGCTCTTCCCTTCTTCCTTAATCTTGACTCAGCAACGGCCAGAGAATACACACTCAAAGGAACCAAGCGTTTCCTCACTTGGTTTGTAAGCAGGCAGTTCTGTTCAAATACCTGGCCAACAAAAGAATCTAAAAAAGTCAACATTAGTTACTTTAATACATGCTTTAATTTTTTTCCACTTTTAAACATCCTCAGTGTATTATGATTGCTCCACTCTCTGTTAAAAATATAAAATGCAATAAAAAACAATTACATTGGAGAAAAGAAGAAAACATCTCCACCTCAACAATGAAATTAAAACCAACGGTATAAAAAATTCAGTTGTCATCCCCTTCCTTTCCCCCCCTCCCAAAAAAATAGTTGTTAAAATGCTTGGGAGAATACTTTACAACTCTGAACAAACCTTGAGCCCTTTTACAACACAGTTTTAACATGGTGATTCCACTTAAACTGTCAGGGCTGCTTTCATTGAAATCCTTGGATTTGTAGTTTGTTGGGTTATTTAGAAGTCTCAGCTAGAATGCTCTACAAAACCCCAGGATTCGATAAGGCACAGCCACAGAAAGTTAAAGTGAAATCATAGTGCTGTAGTTATGTAGTGTGAATGGGCTCCTGAGCTCATTGGATTTTGATAAGAGATGACCAGTAAATACCAGAAATATCTAGGAAGGCCTAGACAAGATTCCTACCTTAAATTCTGGATAACTGATGCCAGTCAAAGTTGACAATATGGGCTAGGAAAAAACCTAATGGTTACAATCCTGTTGGCACCTTGTGGTTCTGCAAGGTTGCCTATGGACATAGAGTCTACCCACATGGCAGAAATAATGTGGCTTGACACTGCTTTAACTGCCATGACTCAATGCTGTGGAATTCTGGGAATGGTAATTTGTTGTGGCACCAGAGCTTTGCTATAGCAGTTAAAGCAGTGTCAAACCAGATTATTTCTGCAGTGTGGATGCAGCCATTGATGGAAGTTTTTGTCCAACACAGAATTTCTGCTTTCAATTCAAGGGTCTGGAAGTGGAGTTGCACATGGTGCATACTGTGCATTGAGTCGCACCTTTGTTTTCTTGGTTCAGTTGTGCAAAGTTGCCAGTTAACACAAGGGTTGTTTCTGCATGCAGAGAATAATGCTCTGCAACCACAATTTAGGAGTTCATCCACAGTATAGGATGGGTGGCCCATTCCACAGACAGCATGTCTCCACTGAAAAACCCTCATATATTTCATTGATTCATTCACACTCTGTCTAGGAGTTAGGAGCATGCTGTTTTCCTTTTGTTGTTGTGTGTCTTCAAGTTGTTTCCAACTTAAGGTGATTCTAAGGCAAGCTTATCACTGTTTTCTTGGCAAGATTTTTTGGGGGAATTGCCTTTGTCTTCCTCTAAGGCTAAGAGAACGTGGCTTGCCAAAGATGACCCAATAGATTTCCATGGCTGAACAGCAATTCGAACCCTGGTCTCCAGAGTTCTAGTCCAGCACCCAAACCACTACACTACTATTTCTCTCTGCACTGGCTTTGTTTCTTGTGTCTGCAGACCTAGAATTTGGGGCTTTGCACGTCATTGGTCGACCAAGTTTTGGATGAAATCACTACCACATTGACATCTCTAAAAACTGATTTAATGAACCAAGGATGAGATTGCATAACGTTGCTTTTTTAGGAGCAGTACTTCTCTGAATTTCTTCCCTTCATCCCCCATTCCTCTTCACTTTAAAATTCCAAGTCTTGGTTACCTAAATAAGAGGATTAGTCACACCTGTCAAGCTGTTGCAATCTCCACCCACTTACTGCGCTTCGACAAAGATTGCAGTAATAAGTGAACAGTCATTTATTGCAATTATCTAATGGTAAGGTGCTTTTTTCAAAAAAGCATCATTCCTATAGCTCTGTTATTTTAATGTAGTGACATTTAAGGTTCTCTGAAGTAGTTCATCAGCAGAGGAGAGTGCATAAATTGCTTTTTGGTTGTGTTGGGGAGAGGAAGGAATCAACTCTTAAATTTTTAGTTGTCTGTCCCTGTTCATCTACTGTGAGCAACATTTTCTGCCTTACTTTGCAGTGTGCTTTAACCCAAAGTCAGCAATTATTTCCTATACCTCTTGGCTTTTGGGGAATTCCTTTAAGTATGGGAAGTGGTTCATTCAGGGGACAGAGAGAGAATTGCACAAGTGTAGACATCTAATGTTCTTAAATATGTTGGGAATAGATAAAGCCTGCCACTAAGTCCTGGTACTAGTTTACTGGCGGCAGTCACTGCTGCTGCTATAGAAACACAGGCTGTTTATGTAAAACTTCAAAAGGGAGACAGATTAATTTAATAATTTTGAGAATGATTAATTGTATTCTATGGGTTATTAAGGCAGCAACAGAAAACAATCCAATGCCAGGATCAAAGGCAATTTAAAAATTACAGAAAATAGATTTTTTTAATGAACTGAATTATATGGTGTCCAATTAAGTATGATGTTAGCTGTGTTTTGTAATGATTTTTAATAATAGGTATACTTTAAAAGTAGCATGTTTCAATATTCACTGCTTTAAACAGTCTAGGAGGGAGAAGGAAATGTCTGTAACATTTTTAAAGCTTGCAGTAAGGACTAGAAATTTTGCATTGCGTGCATGCACACAAATTTATGTGGGGAAAAGCTGCTGCCCTGAATTTTTCATGGCAAGTAATTGGAACAGAGGTTGGAAGAGAGATTTTAAAAGTTTTTGTAGTATATTGTAACTGAGCTCCCCTTATCCCATGGTTTTGCACCCTGGGGGATTCTGGTTGTTATAACTGGCCAGAAGCAATTTTTACAAACCCCAGTTTGTCCAGCTAACTAGAATGTCCTTCAGTGGCATTCCAAAATGTTATCATACCTCTACTGCTTGATGTTCCTGAGCAGCAAATGGAGATGCAACAAGGACAGTCCCTACCTGTCTTTATGCCTTGGCAAAGTACTAATCTTATGATTGCTCAAAACAGGTGTAGTTATCATGCAGACCTCTTGATATTTTTGGACTGCTACTTCCAGCAGCCCTATCCAACATAGCCAATGCTGAGGAGTGGTGGACCTTGTAGTCCAACAACATCTGATGAACCACATAATTTCCAGCTACAGTTTCCTCTAGGTTAGTGTGGCCTTGATAGCTTAGCTTGTCAGGGATGATGGGAGTTGTAGCTCTTCACCTCTGGCTCTA